CCCGGCCGAAGGAAGTACATAAAGAATGACAAGTCCGGTTTCTTCTTTCGACAGGGCGAGAGAGAAAGAGAGAGAGTCACGGTAAAGATGAGTCGAAAGAGGGAGGCATTGCGTCCGGAAAATAAAGGAAAGTAGCGGCGGTAATCCAGAGCGCGGACCAGGGTCTTACCGAGGCTTCTACGGATGTTTATTGAGTCGGTACGCGCACGCGCTACATGCAACACTATCATCTCATCTCATCTCATCTCATCCGGCCTCGTCTCATCGCCCGTGTACCGTCCGACCGGCTCTTCTGTCCCCCTCTCCCTCTCGCCCTTTTCCCTCTGATTTTTCCCGCCCTACACTTTTCATTTTCTCCCGCGTCTCCTTCCCGCGTTCGCTTTTCCGCGGCGCGGCGGATTCTTTCTTTTCTAGTTCGCTCGTGTCCCCACGTTCCTTCTCCACAGGCCCGCTTTTCCACCAGCTTCCATCCACGCCTGCCTCGCCAGTTTCTTCTTCGTCTTCTTTCTGTCTCGTCGCGTCGTCCGTCCGCCGCGCTCATCCGCGCGCGCGGATGTGCCGCCAGCGAGACCATCCGCCGCTTCCCCCACTCCCACGCCATCGCGACGTCCATTCAATCCTATCTCATCCGCTGCGGGTTATCCGGGAACTGGCGCCCCTTCTTCTGGCTTCCCTTCCGGCTGGCAGCTTCATTCATTTCTGCGGGCGGAAAAAGAAATCGTGTCGAACCTGGTCGAACGCTGGTTTTAGATTGTATAGGCATTAGCTTCTTTTTTTATAAATAAATATATAAATATAATATATATTATATAATTAATATATATATTCTAATGGCAATTGTTATGGGAATCCTGGGGATCCTTTTCGGCCAAAAACTGGGTTAAGTGAGATTTTACAGTGTCGTCGTCATTAAAAGTTTTACCACGAAGGGAGTTGTCCAGGGATCGAAATAAGTGGTAATCCGATGGCGCGGATCAGGGCTATATCCATCAATTTTTGCCGAGTGGACAAAGACGTGTGCGGCCTAGCATTGTCCTGCTGGAAAATGACACCTTTACGATCGACCAATTCTGATCGCTTTTCCTTGACCGCTGCATTCAATTTGTCCAGTTGCTAACATTCACGGATAATAAAAAATAAGATAATAATAATAATAATAATAATAATTTTATAATATATAACATTTACGGATATCATAAAAATGGGAATGAGTGACATCTATAACTGAAATCGGCAATTACTTAGTTGCCAACCCAATATTTCTCGTAATTCACTCCGCGCAGCCATAGCAACATCGCGACATCGAGTCGCGAGACTGTCGTTAAAATCTGGCAAAGCAGCGAGTGAAGTGCCCGAGTAAGGGCCAGGCGAATGAGTAAATGAAACCGCTTTTACGGTTAGGAGATTAGTCGTTGGATTTCGGCGCAATCGCGGCGATTACGCGCCTTATAATATTTTAGTACAAGCGATTAAAGGATTCGTTTCACGACTGATTCGAGGTTTCCCTCGGCCCTTTCCCTGCGCCTCGTATAATATACGATTGCTTTCGATTTTGTACTGCTTAGGGGCACCGTCTTTATGAATCATAAATTCCGTTCTTCCTAGTTAGTTGTCATTAATTGTTAACCGTAACCTCAAAATAAATATCGTTAATGATTTTATTTTGACAACGACGTATTAAGTGCATAGAAATGGTCATTGGAAGATTTAGTTTTGTTTACAGAAACATTAAAAATTAATAACAAAATAATTTCATTCAATAATCACATTTTTGTTTAAAGAAACATTAAAAATTAACAGCAAAATAATATCATTAATAATTTAACCTTGACAATACCAGAACGAACATGTAAAAATATTATTTAATTGCTGTGCTTTTGATTTGTTTTCGGACGTAATGAACTGTTCTNGAAATAAGTGGTAATCCGATGGCGCGGATCAGGGCTATATCCATCAATTTTTGCCGAGTGGACAAAGACGTGTGCGGCCTAGCATTGTCCTGCTGGAAAATGACACCTTTACGATCGACCAATTCTGATCGCTTTTCCTTGACCGCTGCATTCAATTTGTCCAGTTGCTAACATTCACGGATAATAAAAAATAAGATAATAATAATAATAATAATAATAATTTTATAATATATAACATTTACGGATATCATAAAAATGGGAATGAGTGACATCTATAACTGAAATCGGCAATTACTTAGTTGCCAACCCAATATTTCTCGTAATTCACTCCGCGCAGCCATAGCAACATCGCGACATCGAGTCGCGAGACTGTCGTTAAAATCTGGCAAAGCAGCGAGTGAAGTGCCCGAGTAAGGGCCAGGCGAATGAGTAAATGAAACCGCTTTTACGGTTAGGAGATTAGTCGTTGGATTTCGGCGCAATCGCGGCGATTACGCGCCTTATAATATTTTAGTACAAGCGATTAAAGGATTCGTTTCACGACTGATTCGAGGTTTCCCTCGGCCCTTTCCCTGCGCCTCGTATAATATACGATTGCTTTCGATTTTGTACTGCTTAGGGGCACCGTCTTTATGAATCATAAATTCCGTTCTTCCTAGTTAGTTGTCATTAATTGTTAACCGTAACCTCAAAATAAATATCGTTAATGATTTTATTTTGACAACGACGTATTAAGTGCATAGAAATGGTCATTGGAAGATTTAGTTTTGTTTACAGAAACATTAAAAATTAATAACAAAATAATTTCATTCAATAATCACATTTTTGTTTAAAGAAACATTAAAAATTAACAGCAAAATAATATCATTAATAATTTAACCTTGACAATACCAGAACGAACATGTAAAAATATTATTTAATTGCTGTGCTTTTGATTTGTTTTCGGACGTAATGAACTGTTCTAATTCTATTCTAATCTAATATAATTAATTAATTAATATATATCAATTAATTTGAATATCTCTTTAGACTAAATTCGTTTCAATTGCGAGAACAACTTTTGAATAACGTGTTACAGTTCCGGCGAGAACGAGCCATTTCCGTCTTCCGGCACAGCGTGAACCATTAAATCATCGTGCGGCACGTTTACATAACCTCCCTTCGTTAGAAATTGAGAGTTTCAACAAAAGTGTTTGAATGTAACGAAGAGGTTCGCGATGATGAGTGGCGCGGGGGAGAACACCGAAGCGAAGAAGAATAGGTAGCAAGAAATGCGGAGTAGGGTGATTCCGACCCAAGGCCTCTAAGTAGTGAGATTAAGTGCTACGTAAATTCTTCCGGCGGCCTGCTTTCCCTCCCTCGGATAAAGAATCGCCGTTTGGTTAGACGCATCGCCAACGAAGAAAAAGTGAAAGTTCTCCGCCGGAAAATCGCCGGGCCGGTTCTCGTGTCGGTCCTTGTAACACGTATAACACGTATTTTTCACCGAGTTGTAAATATTTTCTTCAGCCGAATATCTTAGTGGTTCACAGAGAAGTTCTCATCCCCCCTTTTTTCTTTTACAAATAATCGATGCGATGGATAGATATAGAATTTTTAATTTTAAATGTTTTTTCAATGGTTAAACGTTTCATGAAAATTAACCCATTTACATCATTTATCGTTGAGTGTGTATTAATGTATTCAATAGTGAGTGTAAATAATGTATTTGATCAAATTAAAATGAGAAGTTGAAATTTATGATATTATTTGTTTATTCAATGTGCTTGCATCTCGCAAACGACGATAGTTATAGGTTTGGATGAAAAAGTTAAAAAACATGGATTTTCTTTTGTTTCGCGTCATTTCAAGTAATAGCAAAATTTAAAAAAAGAAAAAGGGTCAACACGTATTTATATCCCTGTCTGTATCATTTGTTTATATTATTTATATTATTTATTATTTATATATATATTATATATATATTATTATTTATATTATTTTTATAGGCTCGTTTTTCAAAAACGTCCACGTTTATAGCCACCATCGTTTCTTATTATAATGCCTAAACCTGTATATAATATTATTCGAATATTATTCGACTTGCGTCATCTATAGTGTAACCTCCAAACTCGCAGACAAATTCTATCGACGGTCACAAACATTACAGGCATTACATTTTATGCCCGACATTGCATGCAATGCTTTTTTGTAATACTATAACACTGTAAAGCTTATAAAATTAACGTTGTAAATATCCATCTGTAGAAACGTGTATAAAACTGTTGCTACATATGTACCATATATATAATCCATAAAATATATAGTCCATAAAAACTGACCATAAAAATAATTACACTTTATATTATATTTCTGAGGCACATGTTTCATAAATACGATTTTCCGCCATCCAAATGTTCGCGTCGAATACACTTATTGCCTAAATATAATATTCAACACTCGTAGTAGAAATGAGATATATAATATATTCGCTTCTTGCTAATGTACCCGAGTTTGTGAACTGTCGGTAACGCTGGGCGCGACACCGAAGCGGTAAGAGGACTCTCTAGAGCACTCTAGAGCGATCTAGAGCCCAGCAAAGCTGAGAGACAGAAATGTCCATAAGATGCAATGTCTGCAATGTATTCTAAGTCTGTGCCGCTGATTTTGAACAATGTCGGTATTTCAGATCGTGCGACACGAAACCGCATATAGTGATTGGTCTATATACTCATCGTCGCTGATGAAGCAGTAAAAAATAAGACGAGCAATAATTATCAATAATTTACCAAATATTATTCGGCAAATCTTTGATAATATGCTATTGGGTTATTGCAGGTTATTGCTGCTAGTATTATTTATTGTAGGTTATTGCTTATTACGTGCGTGGAAACTGTGAAATATGCGAAACCGATACAATTAGTTTTTTTTTATAATCGAACGAACACCGTTCGAATTTCAGTGTTTTATTAGCGTTGAAAAATTTCTCGATCTTCGATATCTCGTTAATCGATGAAAAGTGTATTTCAGTGCGCCACCTACGAAACGTATACTTTTTAGATGAAAAGAGAGCAGCGCAAGCTGTTTCCTTCGCTAGGGGTATGGTATGTACATACCACGGTTGATTGCAAGAGGATCCTGGATGTTGTGAACGCAGAGTTACTTGATAAATATTTTTGGACAATGCATATCTCCGTAGTGGAGAGATTTTAAACTAAAGATCTACCGGCGTCGGACTTAGGAAACCTCGTAATGCATAACGAATCCGTTGTATTCTACGAAAGAACTGTCCTGTAGGATTTTTGAAACTAAACACATTTTGATCGTGCCTTAGGCCGTTCGTTCGTTCGGTCTGGCAACAAGACCTCTCAGATCTTCCCTGTTCTGTTGACATGGCGGTCGTCGAGGAATTTGATTATTTGTGTCGTTTATGCGCGACTAAGACTGGTATTCTAATGGGATTACCGATCTTCGAAGCCGGTGATCAAATGCGTAACATTGACAAGAAAATAGCCGCGTGTTTGCCAGTGCAGGTAAAATCATGCGTAAAGACAGAGGTCCGATTTCACTGCAGTCTTTTAGTGCTCTGCCTTCACCCCCCTCTTCCTAATTTAACTATAAATAGAGAAAGAAAATTGGTGCAAGGTTTCATGATCTTGTAACAATGGTCAGGATGGCTATTAGTTTCGACTACATGCAGTTTAAACGAAGACTATGTTATTAGCTTGTAGATATCTTAACGGAAAAAGAATATTGTGTTTGTTAGCTAAATTAATTGTTTTCAGGTGTCTATGACCGATCAGTTGCCAAAAGTGGTCTGTGAGGAATGTGCATATAAATTGGATCAATTGTTTGATTTTCGAGAGAAATGCTTACATACGGAAGGAATGTTCATGGAAATGTTGAAGGCAATTGCTAAAGAAGAGGTTGTTCACATAACGAAGCATGATTTGGACGAAGTTGAAGAAATGAAAAGAATTCAAAGGGACATAGATAGAATACAAAATAATATGGACAACGTTCAAAATCCTCGCGAGACATCTGAGACTACTATACACACGATGCAAGTTATGGATGAAATGGACTTGGCAGGTGGTGAACAGGTTGTTACGCAAGACGAAATAGGACAACAGGATACTAGTATCGAGGTTACAGGTATCGACTGTTTAGACGGTGATACAGTTAGAATGGTCAACGAGCACATACGAGAAGTAAATACATCAATAAATTCTATTCGGCTATATCGTGTTCGTTCGAATAAAGAAGATTTCGTTTGTTATAATAATTGTTAAAGCAAGAACATAATGTCTCCCATTATACTCTGTGCATCTATAATTTATTTGTACAATGATATTTCAGGTTTCCAATCATCAAATAGCTGTACATTTAGAAGGAGATATGACTGTAGTTGGAAATTTAACGGTGAGCGATCATTTGGGTCAGTTAGGAATAAACTATGTGACTTCGATAACTCCTGAAGATCAAAATCGAGAACAAATAGTACATTACTGTGAAAATGTAAAATTTGAGTCTGTACCGATAAAAGAAGAATATCACAGACTGCAAGAAAGATTAAATGCAGAAGAATCTACAAATGTACTTGAAAACAATGTAAGATATGTCGATATAATAATGAACTTGTGCAGAAAAATAGATTTAAACAATGAAATTTATATAATAATTTTAATCTACAGACATCGCACAGTGATTTTCCTCCAACTCATTCGGAAGCTGATAGTGATATAGAAGAAACACGTGTTGTGGAGACTGAAACTTCTACACACTCGACTACTCAAACAGAGGAGACTTTAGCGTCTACGAGTCAAGTAACAACTGGAAATTCAGAAATATTAGTAGAATATACAAAAGGTGCAAAGAATTCATTATTAGAATCTACATTAAGTAATCCAACAATCGACGAAACAGGTTCTCATTGGTATGTGTGTCCATTCTGTAATGAAGCTATTTTAGGTTCGAATAATATGGTAGCACACTTCGAGCAGTATTTTGTTTGCTGTTCGTGTGGTTTAAGTTATACAAACATAGATGCGTTGAATGTACATAAAGAAAGTTGTGATATACATAAAAGTAAAACACTCGTTAGCGAAGTACAAGACAAAGAATCAGAATTGTCATTATCTCAAAATGGTGTGGACACGAATGAACAAAAGAAACAAGCACCGGTAAGACAGAGATGGACTCCAAAAGTTTGCACCCATTGTGGGAAACAATACAGAACAAACTATAAACTGCAAGAACATATGCGAAAACATACTGGTGAAAAACCTTTTCAGTGTGTGACTTGTGAGAAAGCATTTAGAAGTAAGATAGGACTTGCACAACACACAGCTACGCACACAGGGCAGTTCGATTACAATTGTTCTACATGCGGCAAAGGTTTCCAGTCGAAAAGTTACCTTGTTCTTCACCAAAGAGTGCATTCAGACTTGAAGCCGTTTCCATGCAACACGTGTGGGCAACATTTCAAAACGAAACAATCTTTATTGGATCATCAGAATAGACATCTCGGTGTGAAACCGTACGTGTGTGAAATTTGTGGTAGAGGTTTCATAACTAAAGGACTTTGTAAAAGTCATCAGAAAATACATTCGGGAATGGATAACCGACAATATCCGTGTGTAGTATGCAATAAAATGTTCGTTAGTAAAAGCTATCTTAACACACACCTGCGCATTCACACTGGAGAAAAACCATACTTATGCGAGGTTTGTGGGAAAGGTTTTTTAACACGAGTTGATCTCAAAATTCATTCAACGATGCATACCGGGGAGAAAAGCTTTAAATGTGATATGTGTGGAAAGGTGTTCGCTAGAAGGGCCGCATTGCGATGTCACAGAAGATTGCACACAGGAGAACGACCGTACAGATGCGATATCTGTGGAAAAACGTTCACGCAGTTTACTCCTATGGCTATTCATAAAAGACTGCATACCGGAGAACGACCGTACGAATGCGACGCTTGCGGTAAAACGTTCGTATCCAGATCGACCATGATGTGCCACAAAAAAAAACATCATGCCACGCAACCTATGAAAAAAGAAGAACCAGTTCCTCGTCAGAATGAAGTGAAAAGTGTATTACCAGCTGAAATTGTGCTTCGAGATTCCCAAGAAGGAATTCAGATTACAGCTGATTGAATTTTGAAAATTCAACAACAAAACGAAAGAACTAACAAATTCTGAAGTTGATACAGACAACATATAATAGGAAAGAATATATTGAGTCTGCATTTTATAAGCGGCTTTAGTCACCATAATGTATTCCTTTACTGTAGCATATATGTTAAAAACTGTACGCAAAGAATATATTTTCGAGAATTCTTTGTAAGGGGTAAAAATATGTTTTCTAAAAATTACACACAAACACGAGAAAAGGAGTGAAATTGAACCAATCGCTTATATTTCCTTTTTATATCGGTAATAAATATTTTACCGAATTATCTTCGTCGATACTTTTAAATTATCTACTTTTTGTATTGTATTACAACAGATGTTTGCAGATGAATGGTTGCTGTTAATTGAGCCACAAAAGTGTATGCATATACATATGTATGTGCGCATATGTATAAAATGTATTTATGCATACATACGTATATGTATATAGCTATAACTATGTAGTCAACTTAAC